GCGTTCACAATGCGAGAAACATACATACATTCCTGCAGATCCTACAGGGAGATAAATATTTGGTTGCAACAATCTGAAAAGTGATTCGACGTAAAATGCCCTTTCGAGACTAATAGCCCTTCTGGGCTAACGCCCCTTTGGGGGTTATAAAACCTGATAGGTAGTAAAATCACTTAAAAGTACGTGTGTATGTTTTTGAAGCCTGTTAAAGGCATTCCTCTCTGCTATTTTGATTACAAAAAACTGCAATATGCGCATCTTGAGATGCTGAAATCAATATGTGAGTTATAATGCTTGTAAATGGCGTCTTTTTTTCTTAATCCTCATGAACCAATAGTTAAAACCTAAAGCATATAAATAATAAAAAATTCTCATTAATAACATCTCGTAACAAGGAAGATCTTCCAAACCTGATCACTGAATCTTTCAGAAAAAGTACATATTAATCCACTAATTAAGAAATACAAAAATGTGTTTCCTCACGTGTGCCTCCCGTTTTTCACTATTTTTATCATCTGAAAATTGTAAGTGGGAAAATTATACAAATAATTTAATTTCTGAGTACGCGGTTACATTAAGAATATTACAAATGAAAAACTAGTCATGGATATTGATTATCACAGAGTTATTTCTTTAAAAGGGTACATTCCAATAGGAATACATAAAAATATTAACATTACAATAATGCAATTAAACAACAACGTAGTATCTTCGTTTCTACTTCCCTATAACTTCAACATATCTTTTTTATTGTTGTGTCTGCTACTCCTTAGGCCTCGAATTATTTATAGAGAAGTCGAATGTGCAGGTGACTCAGAGAAATCCTAGACTGATTTGTGAGTTCACGTTTGCTTCACTGCGATGTGTCGGTTGTTGTATTGGGCTAACATAACGTCAACCGATAAAAGGGAAAGCTTAGGAGTGACCTTCGCAGGTAGTTTGCGAAGATTTGTCTTTGTCAATGAAACGAATACAGTCACTACAGTCAATGTGGACGAAACCATTTTCAAATTTAGCGCAGCTTGTTTTCTGACCGCACAGACGAAAAGGAGAAATTATACGAATACTTTTGAAATTTCAAAATCTAGCGCTAAATACGAGAGGAAATAAGTAACGGTAAAGAATTCATTGCTAATATTCTATAGATAAATAATTTAAAAATTGAAAAAAGGTAAAGATATTTGGCGATACAGCGCTATTTGGCATCTTTCAAAACTCTCAAAATTCAGCTTTAAAAATTTGGAAAGTCGTCACGTTGATCGATTCATGCAAGGAAAACATAAAATCATGAACGAAGAATAAACAAACCAAAGTCAAACATTTTTGTTTTCAATAAACAGTAACTTAAAATGAAACTTTAAACAAAACTGAATCTTTGAAACAGTCCAGAATACAAGAAAGTCTTGAATTATAGTCCATGTCCTGAATTAGTATATTCAATTGAACAATGCATATGTATTCTATTGAGTATATGTATTGTACTGTGTCTACGTAATGTATTGTATAGTACTGTGTATATGTATTTTGCATATGATTTATATAGTATAGTATCAGCGGCATACCCAGATATTAATATTGGGAAGGTGTACGTCGTTATTGCCATTTTTGATGCAATTTCTTTAGTTTAGAATTCCCACTTCAAAAATTTAAAGAATACACTATTTCAATCGTATCAACTTCTATTTTAAACCGCTCAAGGATTGATATAATTTTTATCCCGTTATAAAAATTACAAAAAAAAGAACATTTTAAGAAAATTTATAAAGATTACGATGAGAACAACAGATCCTATTTACCAGAATCGGTGTAATCCAGCATCATTAAAAACTGATGAAAATAATTTAAGCATTGCAAAAACGGTTAAAATGAAAATTTCTATGTTTATTTGTTTTTGCACTCTATACTATTAAAATCTGTGCGCCTCTGTCTTTGTTTGTTTGTGGTATTATCTCCTCCGAAATAGCGGATAACTGAGCTTCGAGAGATGTACCCGTGGATTCTAAAAATTCATGGCAAGTCATTTCGATCATTCCCATCTTCGTATGACTTTAATTAGCCGAGAAAGTAATGAAAAACCCTAATTTTCGCCCTCATTTTTCCGAGTGGCAACAATTTCGCACTCTGGAGAGGAAAATCTGCTTTATTTCGAAAAGTGTTACCACTGCTCCTTTTCAAATCGCACACTTTCATAATAAAAAATTTTTTAAGTCTTACAAAATCTGAAATAAAAGTAAAAAAATCCGAAAGCTTTCACATTTTATTTTACGCCAAAAGGGGCGGTTTTATTATTATTATTATTATTATTATTTAGTCCAAAGGGCTTTGTCTTTGAACAAATATTGTTTTCCTTTTGCGATTTTGCGTTGAATCACTATAAATGTCCGTTTCACTTTTCAAGCTGTTGCCACCAAATGTTAGAGTCATGCATTATATTTGAAGAAATTAAATAATGAAAAATTTGCATAAATGTATGTATATTTCTCGCATTGTGATAAAACAACAGTACATAGAGCCATCGAATTTTGAATGACGTAATCCTCCTATGAATGTGGGCATGTGGAAGACCAAATTTGAAATTCGGAATTTGTTTTATGACCGATTTCATATTTTTTAAAACGTTAACGGATGTTTGAGTAACAAACTCAACGATTTCAAAGCGAGCAATGGCAATACTCTACGGGGGAAAGGAAAAAACCTCCAGCGCACGGAACTGTGTATCGGAAATTCTAAAGATATGCTCATTTTAAAATTATTTTGCGACATTGCTATTGAACTGAATTTTGTCTTTTGAGTACAAAGAACATGATATTCAATAAATAAAGGTAACACACAAAACGTTAAAAAAAGACCCTTTGGACGTAATTTAAAATCTAAAACCTTTCAGATATTTTTAATATCGACGACGATGTTTTGTAGCACGATGTTTTAGAACTGCGATGTTTTCTCTTTGCGATGTTTTCTCCCACGATGTTTTGTAGCACGACGTTTTCGCCTTGCGTTGTTTTCTCCGCGACGTTTTCGTCCGCGATGTTTTTGCCGCGATGTTATCGGCGGACACCCATAAAAACACATGTATTTTTATTTATGTATCAAAAAATACGATAAATTATAGAAAGAGCCTAAATTGTTATTGTTTGTTCTCAAGTTTTGTCCCGTTTGATGAATTTTGTCTGAAAACACAGAAAGATTCTGGTAATTTGTTTATTTTTAGTTGAAATTAAAGTTAGTTATTTAATGAATCATTAATCTTCTTAGAAATATTTGAAAGAAATATATGTCTCTATTGTGAATATAGAGAACTGAATAGATTTTGAATATAGACAGATAGTAAAGAATTTGATAGTTAGCTATCAATATATTTGAATTATAAAGTGTATCCAACAAAATTATTTTACAAGCACCAAATTTAGATTTCAGATGAAAAATAAATTTGATTTTTTCTTTCTTTGTGATATTATTATGATTGTTTATGCGTTTTGATAAATATTTAGTAATGAAATTTAAAATTTATTGACAATATTACTTATTTTATTCTTATTGAAAATATTTAAAATTTATTGCAAATATTTTCCTTCAAGAGAGTTTCCAAATCTGTTAAAAAAAAATATGCCTCTTTTCAGCTGTTTTCAGATCACGCTCTGGGATCGCATGCGATTTAATGATGCTTGTGATTTAGTGATTAATTAATCTTGTTAGAATTAATTGAAAGAAATGTCTGTCTTTATTTTGAACATAGACATTTTTATTAAAAATATTTTTATGTCGAAAATATTCAAAATTTACTGAAAATATTTTTTATTTTGTTAATAAAAATTTTCAGTTTGTTAAAAAAATCTGCCCTTTCAACTGTTTCCAAATCGCGCATTCGGCTAGCATGCGATTTGAATTTAAGAACACTGCTCTGTTATATTCAGCAGTAATGGAAAGAAAAAATCCTGTTTCATGAAGTATGTTTATATGAGACACTTTTAAGACCAATTTAATCAACATTAGCATTAAAAGTAATAGTGCTGTTTAATTTCAGAAAAAAAAAAATCAAAGCCATGAACCATTACCTTTGATACCATTAAGGTTATTAAAAATCGTTACACGCAGTAAATAAATTTTAAAGATACCATAATCTTTAATTATATAATTATTTAATTAAATTAATTATAATTTACTTAAATAATTATGTATTTAATTAATTCATATAAATCTTAATTTAGTGAATATTTTACAGTTGTAATTTAATTTATATAATCATTTATTAATTAACATATAATTATTTAATTATTTAATATTAAACCAATAATATAATTAATTTAATTAATATACTGCAATTATTTAATTATTTAACATTAAATTAAGTAATTAATTTAATAATAACACCCATATTAAAGATAAATCAGATATTGGGAAAATTTTCTCTTTCAGTATAAAAAAGTATTTATTTTTTAACCAATCTTGATAAGTCTATCTAAAATTATAAAAAAATTCAGAAACAAAACCGCAAAAATTAAAGTCCAAGTTAAATGCATTGCTGCTCTACAATTGAATGTCAATTGTGAATGCTTATCATAAATTAAAGCCTAAATCACCCATGTATCTCTATATGCCTATATTTCCCATCACAGATTTAGCCATTTTCCTTTCAGTTCTACATTTTCTCAACCTTACATCTGGCACCTTATGCCAGTATAAACTACATTGTTAAAAAACAGAATCAACCAAGCAAAACAATTTCTTCTTCATTTTTTATTTCTTAAATTCTATAGTAGCTTTACTGAGTAATTCATCCGAATGTAAAATTGATTCTTACCTACAGAGGAAAAAAAAAAAAAGGAAGACCAAACCTTTCGCGAACGGTTACGGAATCTGTAGTGATCTTGATGAGTATTAGGTGTGGTGGAAGAAAATGTGTTTTTGGGTAACTGAGCACAAGCGGTAAAAAAAGTTCGTTCAACTCCAGTGAGATTAAGAGGATAATCTTACGCACTTATTTCGCGCATTAATAATCATCTGCGCACCGCCGCTTCCACAATTGAAAGGAAAATTTTACTACTTATATAAAAGCAGGATTTTTACCATGAAAAATCATTCCACTTTCGCCTTCGTTTAGGATCTCATACCTTCTCAGCAACCGCTAAGGTAAGAGAATACAATTCGGATAATTTGGGTTAAAAAAATATATATTTATTCTTTTCGAAGTGAAACAAAATGTGTTTTAAAGTTTAGAATAGGTTTTAATGAAAGAAAATATACCTAATGATTTTTAAAACGAAAAATTCTTTTCAAAATTAAAATCTTTTTCGTCTTCCACTTTAATTTAAAAAAAAAAAAAAAAAAAAAAAAAAAGGTTAAAAGTAAGAAGTTAGAAGTAAAAAAAAAAAAAGCTAAAAGCAAGATTTTTTTTTTTAAAGGTAAATGAAAAAGTATCCCTAAATTCGTGAATTTTTTTTAATGAAAGAAAGATTCTGTAAAGTTTAAAGCTTTTGTACGTAATTTGAAAAGATAAATAAAATTTTATATACGATATTAAATCGAAAAATATTTATTAAAGTTAGGTTTTATTTAAACAAAGTAAAATTTATAGGTAATTTAAAATTAAAAATATCTTCAAACCAGAAAACATTAAAAAACGGGGTCGGCAAAACTAAAAAAGATTTTAACCTAAAAGGAAAAATGTGCCTGAAGTTAAGAATTCTTAATTATTTTAAATTTGAAAACATAATGAAAAAAATGGCTTCATAATAAGGCCTCTCTTCCCTCCCCCAATGGAAGAAGATGTTTGAAGTTAATAATGATTTTAAAGTGAAAAACTTGATGGATGAAGTTTCTGTATTTTTTAGATTGAAAAAATATATTTTAAGTTGAGGAAACTTAAAAAATAAAGTGTCTCTAACATTAAGAACCTTTTTAACGAAAGCAAATCTTGCCTAAACTTAAGAATGCTTTTAAAACCAAAAATACAGTGGTTAAAGAGTCTCCAGAGCTCGGTTTATTTTAAATAGAAATTTAAAATTAGATTCAGCATGCATTTTACCAAAATATCAGAGAAATTTTAACTTCTGCTTAAAGCATTTACGTTGTACTAAATAACTGATTTCAAAAAGAAATTTTTAGATTTCTTTCGATTTTTAAGTGGAAAATTTTAATTTAATTTTTAATTTTTAGTTTAAGATGTAGCATTACATTTGCATTTTAAGCCTAAATTTTATTACTGATAAATTTATATTATGGATAATCTTATAATTTACTTTACAATGAAAAATATTATTAGTAAATTGAAAAACTTTTGAAGACGAGACACCTAGTATTTGCATTGTAAGGAAAACTGTATTTTATTTGCTATATCTGGTAGTTATTCATCATTCTAGATAACACGCTTATATTTGTATATATTACATAAAATTACGGATGTATAGATAGATGAGGCTGATAGAGAGAAAAGGAAAGTTTTGGTATAATGTTCAGAATAAATATAAGTGTGTCATACTTTAATACCTGGAATTAATGTCCTTCAATTGTAAGGAATATATTCCGTAGAATATTATTTTTTAAGTAATTTCATGAGACAATTATCCCATTTACTTGTTACTATAAGATAAAGAGGTTATTGCAAGTTAAAATTCAATAAAATTTAACCAGACTTAATTTTGATTATTACAGAAAGCGAATGTATAAATGTCTTGTATATTAACGACAAAATCTGAGTTTAAAGAGCAGACTTTGTCGTCATAATATTCCATTAATTTCTCAAATTATTCGCATAAAGTTTTTCTTGTGAAATTTATTGAAATTTTATTGCAGGATCCACAAAAAAGAAAAAAGGTGTGGATTTTTGTATAATTTTATCATCAATTCAAATTCTAATAATTAAATATTCTATCTGTAATAGAGTTTAATTGTTTAAATCTAGTTTTTTTTTCGCAAAGGTTATGGTTTAATTTCTTGGAATCAAACTTAATATCTAAAATTCGTATTTAGTAATAGATGGTCTAACTAATTTTTATCCTTTGTGCGTTATGGAATTTTGTGATGTAAATGATTTTAATGAATTCTATACACATAAGCTTCACAGTCATCTAGTTTTTCCTACGCCATGTTACTTGATCCGGTCAGAGGATTTTTCCTCTGACCGGATCAAGTAACATATTAGCATGTAGGGGGGTTTAATACCGATGGATTGCTGCCAAAATACCCTTTAAGATAATAATATTTCTCACAACTTTGAATTAATATCTAAAGTAATTAATTTCATCTCCCACCAGATGTCGCCACCTGCCTTTTGGTTTCGATTAAGGTCACAAATGCTGCCTGTCTACTGAGGTTTCGTGGAAAGACTTTCTAAGGAAAACTGCCTCGTATTTTTGTATACCCCGGTAATGTTTTGCAACTAGCTCTGTTCGATGGGATTTCAGCTCGGGTGGAATTACCGAGCTTTAACCATCTCATGCATTCCAAGAACATTTTTTAGGACTTCCAGTTCTAATTCAGTTCACAATATATAAACAATGCGCTTCGCTTAAATTCGGTAAATTGGAATTAGTTGAGTAAATTAAGTCCTAAATTAAGAGAGAAAAGAAACACTGAGAAACTCCAAAGTAAAATTAGGCAAAGCTTGTTTGGCGAAAGCTTGTGAACTTGTGTTTGGCGTAGAATTTTAATTAAGGCTCTCGATTCCGAGGGCGACATGTATAGATCTCTCTTTACCAGAAGCAAGGAAATTTGCCAAAGATGGTGTCAAAAATGCTGCTGTAAATTTCAATATGGAGCAATTTTCCTCTTAATAATTTAGGGAAAATTCAATGTGTCACCGATAACTTTGAAGTTAAAAGATACCAAATGCATATTTAATGAATTTATCACATAACGTAGGCAATTAAAATTCACTTAAAATATCAAAGTGAATCTCTTTTAATGTTTCCCTTAGTTTTAGTCAATCTTAAGAAATGTACGATAAATATGAAATGATAATATGAGAATGAAAGTAATTTTTAGAGCATAATCGTAACTATGTGCAGAGAATTTTGAAGGCGTTGTTGTTTTCATGGAAATCTATATTTTTGATTCGATAATTATTATGAATTTTTTCATTTTGTGATTTCTCTAATATAGTTGGTACATTGCAGTCTTTAGCTACTCGTCAGTAAAAATTATATTAGGAATTCTTTGGAGAATTTTTGTCAGAAAACAGACTACACATTATCCGAACTAGAGACCTGGCCTCCTAGACGATCCATTAATAAATAAATCAATAAATACATTTACAAATAATTGATAAATAAGTTGCTTTCTTTCGCTTACAGAATTTGAGCGGCGCTATTTCAAGTCTCGCAGTCCAGTAATTTTATCTCGATTATGAATTAACTATCCTCCACTCTGTTTATGCGTGACTTCAGGATCCAGTATAAAGATAATTTTGACAAAATTATAGCTAAAACATAGACTGTATTCTTGTTCGAATTCGGGCTCTTCAGATTTCATGTTGTTACACAATACAATACAAGGCAGGAATAATTTAATGCCTTGCTGACGATTAAATCATATAAAAAAAAACAATATTTTTGCAATCCTCAAAATGTTAGAAAAGTAAGAACATTTTTCATAGTATATAATCACATAAATAAATAAAGTCCTTAAAAATCAGAGTTAGACTGTTAAATTAGATTATTAAAAATTTATAAATAAATATGTTACTTAATCGGAGATTTCTAAAATAATGCTTCTTATCTCGGATTTAAATGATTTGGTTTATTGAATTATGACAAACCTCTCTCTTGCGTAGGGCTAGGGATGCCTTCGTGGAGGACTTTTTAAGGGAAACTGTTTCGTATGCACGTCACACATAGGGAAAAACGCCCATGCAGCCAGCCCGTTCGACGAGATTCGACCCCCAACCAGTGTTCAGCGACTTTATCGTTCTGCAGCTGGTGGGCGAGATTTAGAGGATTTGAAAGATAGTGACACAGTTAAAAGGAAGAAACACGTGCTAAAGTCAAGTTATTTTAATAAAATAGCTCAAAAGCAGTTTTAAAGAAATGAAATATTTTAAATTCAATTAAAGAAATTCGCTTGAGGAAATCGTACAGCTACATTTGTGAAAATTATTATTTTTTTACACTGCTAACTTATGATAATTAGTCTTTCTTTTCGGTATGCCAGTGTATAGTTTTCTGGAGCTTTCCGTGTGTTTCTGTTTATATTTTATTCCCGAGAATTACAATATGACTCACATCTCTAGATTATTTAATTCAACATGTGAATTGTGTTGTTGTTGGTACTAATCTCCATGTCTAGCAATATACTAGACGAGGTCCACGAGTCCATTCACCTCCAGAAAATCGAAAACAAGCTTAGGAAACTTGAAAAGTCCTCAAGAGACAACTCCAGGCACTCAAGGATATGTGCCGCTGATGCCGGTGCATTTTGACATTTAGAACAAATTGGTGTTCATCTTGAGACCTCTTTTAAAAGTAAGTCCTTTCAGGTGTCCACTGGGAAGAATCGGGAAAGTGTTGTCTGAACGCTTCAATCGCAATCAATAGCAAGAGATCTTCCAGGACAATGAGCTTGATACCATTGATGATTCGGGGGAACGTGCCTGTCTGTATGTCTTCTAATGGAATGCAGTTCAAGATATGTCAAGGAATTGGTAACTGGTAATGGTTCTTCAGAACCCTCCTTCGCCAGAAGGTCTGCCATTTCATTCCCCATATGTCAACATGGGAAGGAATCCACAGAAGGTGCACTTCACAGAGTGACGAGATCTGTTTAAGCTTGCTAAGAACAGTTCCGGCCCTATCACCAACTCTTCGCCAGTTTGAAAGATATTGGATGGCGCTACGACTGTCAGACAAAACCCATACTGCCTTAAGATCTGTAAAGGACGAAACAGCGTTTAGTCCCTCTTCGATGGCTATAAGCTCACTCTTAACAACCGAATTGAAGTCAGAATTTCTTTTCTTTATTTTAACAATATTTCCATTTGTGCATTTAATGACAACTCCACTACTGGAGCGAGAGTCTTCGCTTTTACTTCCATCAGTATAAATAAGGGCAGATGTGAACTATTCGTGAACTATTCGAGGGAGACCCAATCCGCCTTGTCCCAGCGGGACCATATGATTAAAAATAGGTCAACCCTC